AAATTAGGCATGCGAACTGAACAGGTAAATCCAAACACGCGTGCTATGTTGGACACAATGTAGAATGATGGTAGCCCCGGATACGAATGTTGGTGTCAATGTGTTCTCGGAGGATATCAACACCAACACGCGTACGATACCTTGCAAAAACCAAAATCTGATATTCACCGAGCGTTTGCATATTACAATCTGGATGAGGATAAATACCTAGCCAAACAACCAAAAAGAGCGCAACTGGAGGGAGCATTCTTCAGAAAGGATTGATTTCTGTGCTCAATGGATCTTATCGAGCGATATCCAAATTGTAGGTATGTTATATGAACCTGGGTGTTTTACGTGCCGTACATTTCTGTTTCGATTTCGTTTGGCTCGCGGTCGAAAATCAACCGAATGTCAAATCTTGTGTTGGGTTTTGTCGCACACCAAATCTGAACTATTAACCTCTTAGCATATAAAATTACGCTTTGTATGCGATCAAACACTAACTTGTGTTCATACAGTGTGACTGATTTAACTGAACATTTCTATGCTATCAGCATTGTCTCAACCAATAGTAATAGCTTTTCGTAGTTAAAGATTTTCTTGGCCATAGACTACTAATAAGTAGTATAACCCACGAACTACTTATTAGTGCCCCGAAAATTGTTTGCTCCAATGCAGTCGCGTAAATGAATAACCTCTGTGCTGACTGAGTAATTGATAAAGTCACAACTAAAGTCCAAATGAGTCATGTTGTTGAAAAGCATCTATGTCGCTGATAACATCTTACGAGTCCGCAGCTGCTGACTGGGTCTCTGGATGGATAAGATGGTAGATTTTAGATTCAGCAAGGAATATCGATACAATCACCACCTGGTCAACAGTTATACCTCACCACATAAACCTTTAAATTCAAATGGTATTCGAGCTTGAATATCACTGGTTATTTAGGGAACACTGATGGAATCTCGAACAGATCGGTCGCGTGAATGTCGCATTTGAATTTTTCCCCTATCGTCTACCTGTTTTCCGTCCCAATCTCCTTAAAGAGTAATGAGAAGACCAGGTTTTTTAGTGAACATAGGGTGGACAGTGCACAAGACACTGAGGTGCAGAGGACACATTGCTTCCAGATTTTCGCCGAATAAAACGGTGAGAACACATGTTGTACAGCGCTTGCCAAGTGAAGAACCGATGGGAACAGAAGATCGATATCATATGAACCCGGAGGTTGCAAGCTCGAATCCCATTTCGACCACAAACCCAATCCTTTCCTCGTATTAAAGACCATTTTTATAGCCTTTAACAGGCTTTGAGTAGCCGCACCCCCTTTTCAGTGTCAGTTTTCACAGCTATTAATCTTACACTGCGGCGAGATCCTTTCAGATTTTGTTTACTAGCGACTGATCAGATTTGGAAAAGACGAGTATATGAAACAGTCTAATCCCAGGAGCATTATTAAATTTTTAAAAATGAAGCAAATCAACAACATTTCTGCAGAAAGTGAGTAGATGCGTGATTACCACTGTATGAGACACACAGAAATATCGATTAGTACTTCTTCTATTAAGAACTGATTGGATTACTGTCTATTCACTGCAGACTTTGAGTAAGATTTCAAAACAAATGAACACATGTCCCGGCAAGGATCTGACAGAACCTTAATCAACACGACTAATGGCGTCGCGCAAGTTGACATTTGTGCATCTGTCCACACATAAACTCCTAATAAAGGGTATTTTAACTTCATTTCCATACTGTGAAAATTTACTTCTTACGTTTTCCTGATGATCTGGAACAAACCTATTGAGGCCTCAGGTGGTTGGGTTGGGTTGCCGGTCTTTTCTCACACCACATATGATCAATACAACGTACAGAAATCAAGAAATGCGCACTCTACTTTCAAACTCAAAACACTCCATAGCACTCACCAACATTCGCAGTTTAAATCGAAACGTTAATTATGTAAACCACTTTCCACAATCTTCTTCTCCCTTGGCTTTCTTTTTGACGGAGACACAAATCTCCCCTAGTCAGACACCACTCATTTTCAGTTCCCATATTACTTCCTCCATTCCTCTTTTCTTTCTAAATCTGGTGGTTGCTCCTATATCTATCATTCTGTCACTACTGCCCGACTTTCACACTTAGACTTCTCTAACCGTGAATTTCAGCTTTTGGCTGAAACTTCGATTCCCTTCTTTCAACCACTATTTTTGTACTGTTTTCTGCTCCCCGAGAACAAGCGCTTCTTCTATTTTTGATATCCTGTCTTCCAACATGGAGACACTAATGTCGGCAGATTTTAACTGCCAAATTACCATTGTCGGAGATTTCAAAGGAATGTCTGAAGCATTCCTCAGACACTACCTTCATGGCATGCCGAAGCCACAGTCAAAGTTTTATTATGGGCATAACTTACAAACTCGTGCTTCTCTTGTCCCCATAGGATGTTTGCACAGATGAATCGTTACACATCGAAAAAGGAGTCACATAGAGTTCCGGGTAGGAGATAATAGAGAATCTAGGTTACAGTGAATTTCCGTTTGCTTTTAGTGGTGTACGAATGTGAGGTGTGCCAAGGTTTCATCGAGTTCCTGCTTGAAAGATTCAATAGTGGGTGCACAAATGACATGAGATGGAAGGACGTTTCAAGATCTGCATAGTCCGACAGCAAAAGACTGGCGCCGTCATTCCAGTGGATACTTTGGAATCAGTAGTTTGAAACGGTGTCCCCTTAGGTGTACATTGTTCGATAACACGAGCAGCGATTGACACGGATGGTTTGGGTTCTGCAGTATTTGATACGTCAAAATCAAGTCTCCTCGAGTTCGGCAGTGCTGAGCAGAATATAGTCTCAGTGNGGAAGGACGTTTCAAGATCTGCATAGTCCGACAGCAAAAGACTGGCGCCGGAAATCTAGTCGACACTTTGGAATCAGTAGTTTGAAACGACGTCCCCTTAGGTGTACATTTTTCGACAACATGAGGAGCGATCGACACGGATGGCTTGGATTCTGCAGTATTTGATACGTCAAAATCAAGTCTCCTCGAGTTCGGCGGTACTGAGCAGAATATAGTCCCAATGATTGTAGTCTCCTCATATGTCAGATAACGCAATCCCTTGGTGACCATCCTTTGTGGACGCTCAAGCATCCTACGATCACGTTGAAGCCATAGACTCCAAGCTTGGATGGTGAACTCCGTATAGGGTCG